GAGAACCTGCCCTATGTGGAAAGACTGAAGCAGTTAGGTCTTCTCTCACAGAGCAGAGAAGGCTTGGAGAGGACCTCATGACAGTATTCTGGTACTTAAAGGGCAGCTGCAAAGAGGGTGGAGGCTCTGTTTTCACGAGAAACCACATGGATAAGACAAGGGGCAAATGGGTACAAGTTTTATCTCAATATAAGAAAGATATTTTTTACAGTGAGAACGATCGTTCACCGGAACAGCCTCCGCAGGGATGTGGGTGAGTCCCCATCGCTGGAGGTTTCTCAAGATGTGATTGAATAGGGTGATAATTCCCACCTAGGCTCCCTTTCCCACAAAAGGTTGGATCAGTGGATCTTTCCAGATTCCTTCCAACCTGGGCTGTTCTATGATGCTGCGAAGTATTTTAACCCTTTGCTGGTTACAAGGGAGGTAAAACTAGGTAAAAGCAGCACACCTAGCTCTTGTGCATGCTCAGTGAAGGGACTCCTGTGAGGTCCTGGCTACTCTGCTGGGCTTTCCCTGGTGTTATATCCCCGTCATGTGAGTTGGGAAAGTGATGCTGATATGTTTTTTGGAGTTTGAAGTATTTTATTTATTTAGATCAGGTTCAGTCCTGGTTGAAAAACACAACAGCCCTAAAAATGTACATACATTGAAGATTATTTAATAACAAGACCTGGCAGAAGGGATGAACTTCCACACCTCTTCCCATCCTCACTGAGCATTTCTGCCACGTGCACTTCTGACACACTGGTGAGGCAGTTACAGGTGCTACACCAGCTGAAATCAAAGCAAATCAAGCAAACTGATCACTTTTCTGCTCGTCAAACTGACCGCTTTTGGCCTGGCAGAGTGCCAATGCCTGTGCATGGGTTGGGAAGGACATGAGGAAACACGGCCAGGAGTGAGACTCTGCCTTGTTCCTCTTGGCAATGGTAGAGTCCACAGCTGTTGTGTCAAACTCTACCTTAAACTTCCCAGGCAAAGATTTTTAAGTGCCCTCAGTGGTTTTGAGGACAGAGCTTGGGTCTCTTCAGAGGAGTCTGGTTTTCCTTGGGATGGGGTGTAGCCTTTCATGACCCTCAGCCTGCAATGTTTGCTTCTGAAATGAAGTGAAAATGCTTCCAGTTCCCCCAGCTTGTGTGGGGTGCTGGCTGAGCACCTTCCAGGCGGGGAGGGGGACTGGAGGGGTGCCACTGCGGGGCCCCACACCTCCTGGGCACACTCCGGGGCTGCCGGCGAAGGTTGCTGTCACACAGCTCTGCAGGTAACAACAGCACAAAGTGATTTATTTTCTTCTCTTTACCTGTCCGAAAGCTGCTCTCCCACACTGGGGGCCATCAGAGTTACAGCAGGCACAGATGTTGAACCAGCTGGTTTCTTAAGGGATAAAATAATTGAGAATTTGCTGCCCTGAGCTCACAGTCACCGAAGATAAATCCCCTTCTCTGCCTTTCCCATTCCCCAGTGTCAGATATTTCCATCCTGGCCGTGAGAAGGAAGAACAGACATACAAGAGCACTCCAGGCCACTGGGTCCTTAAAAGGAGCACTTCAATACCACGAAGCAGCAGTTGTTACAGGAGTGCATTACATACAGGATTACTTTGTTCCAGAGTTTCAAAAACAGTGGATGCTACTAGGGAATATGGAAAGTTTTCCATCTCCATGAAGGCAGGAAAGGCTGCTTATCACCTTCGCTCCTTTCCCAAAGCATACAGAAAGTTGTATTAAAAAATAAATAAATTAAAAGAAAACAGCCAGGGCCAGCAGTTTTGCATTAGCCTCGCCAAGATTAGGTGGCTTCAGGCAACGGGGGGGTGGCCTCTGACACTCTTTATGTTACCAGCAAATTCTGAAGCATTTTGCTCTTAGAAATACACCCAAGCTGAACTCCCAGTGTCACGCAGACCAGGAACAAGCCCAGCTGTCCGGAGATCCTCCTAAAGCAACTGGAAAGGGCAGCTACTGCTGCAGAGCTTCCCCTCGCACAGGTGTCCTGCAGGAGCTGTCACATGGCAGCTGTGAGCTGGCTTCACCATCCAGGGTATAAAATGGAGGCCTTTAAGAGGGACACTCTTTTCCTGCGAGCTACAGATGCAGTCAGGCAGCTACCAGTAAGTAAAATAAAAAGTAGCTATTTCATTTCATGTTAAGGTATCCTTGAATCTCATTTGGTTGTGCTTGGTGGTTGTACAATGTTCTTTTTGCTGTAAGAAAAGACCCTTGAAAGGAAAAAAAAAAATAGGAAGATTGATAAACGTTGCATTTCAGCTGAGCGTTTTTCCCTTGTTAAATGGCAGTTCCAGGTTACTTTTCCTTTAGTAATGGTATCTGCATAGCAGAATAAGATGTAATAGCATTCACACTGAAAGAAGTATTCTGAAATAATGATTTTTGGCAACATCCAAAGTGCAGACAAGCCATAAAGAGCAGAGGGTGTAAGGTGATGAGTAGCTTCTGTTGAACACTGAATCAGAAGGGATTAAGTGTAAGCGATACCTGTTCTTATTTTAAACACACTTCTTTCTCAAGTGTTGTGGTAAGCATGATGGTACCTTGGTCTCCAGAGTAGCCTATGAATTTTAAAATACAATATGTGTTTTGAATTAGATCTGTCTTTATAGGTTACTTAATCTTGGTCTTATGCTTCCTGGACTAGTAAAATTGAAATTATAACAGCTTTTTTTTATTCAACCCTGGGTGAGCGCCCGGGTAGATTGTGCCAGTTGCTGTTTAATGTGCGTCTGTGTGACCTTTCAGGTCTGCTTGGGAGATGTGCTGCTTTTTTAGAAAAGGTTTGTTTTTTTAAAAAAAATCCAAAACCAAACCTGACAAACCCTTATGCTGTTCTGTGTTCTGATGTGTTTTGTGGGGTAAATACTGCCCTGTCTCAGGGGCATGTTATCAACTGCTAATGGCTGCAAGGTGTCAGAGGTAGAAGATGATGAAAGTGGCAGTGTGTCCAATTACCGAACTGGGAAGTAGCTAAAGCCCTGCAACAGGCTCTGAGAGGGCTGGTTGATACCCCAGGCCTGGCGGTTTTTAGGAGGCTTTTGGACAACGCCTGTAAAAACATGCTTTGACTTCTGGTCAGCCCTGGATTATCTGGATGATTTCTGTAGCCCCCTTCTCCCTGGGATCATTTTCTTCTCCCTTCCGTGCCTTTCCTCGTGGCTGTGGCAGCGTGGCCAAGTGGAGCAGACAGGGATAGTTGTGTTCAGGTGACGTCTGCGGCATTGATATCTTTTGTTTCGGAGTGTCGTGAGTGGTGGGCATTAGTCAAAGCCCATGGAGCAGAAAATAAGTGAACTTTGTAATGAAATCTCTGTTTCAGCAGAACTCTGCTACCTGTATGCTCGCTAGAAAACGCTGACACTTCCCTGGTGTGTATTTGTAACTAAAAAAAGCACGTGGGTGGTTATGGATTCGCTTTGTGTTGTAGAAGTGATCCTTGACTGGATGTCAGGCTGAAGAGTTGCCTTAAGTCTAGCTCTTTCCTTCTGTTTCTGTACCCCATAATATTGTAGTACACTCTCCCAGTCTACAGACCGTAGCATCTTAGCAGGGTGATGCAGGGCCGGTGTCAGCACCCTGAACTACTTGGGCAGTAACTGGAAGCAAGGGGCAGAGTCAGAAGGGCTTTAGAGGGGAGCACAGGGTAACATCAGCAGACATTAAGTCACTTTTAAATGCAAGGAGGTAGAACTTTTATTCATTTTAACTGCGGAAAATCTTTAATCCTTTGATCAAGTCGCTCCCTTGTTAAAAGGCAGGTAGGTATTCTTGTACGGTGATTTAATTTGAAGCTAGCAAATTCTTATCCAACCACTACGCTGTAGATAATAGGTAGTTTCATTTTCTTTCCCTGTTTGGCCTTGGACACAAGCTATGACCTGTAAACCAGAACCAAGTATTACTGAATGATTAAACTTGAAAATCTTCTTTTTTTATTTGGCAATCATTCACTTTATTTTATATACACATATTTAAAGTCTGTACAAGGTAAAATACAAAATAAGTGTTTCTTTATAAGTTACACAATTAAACAGCTACATTTATCTGTAGTTTAGCTGTCATTTAATTACAAAAGGAGAGAAATCTTGTTGAGTCATTGTTATGTTCATTCACAATAACCTTGGTATAAAACATCCATACAGAGTAAGTGTACAAAATAGTGTACAGTTCATAAAAGCTGTGCAAAGACAGCAAAGTTCAGTCAAAAATCAAAGAGGCATATCCACTTTCCTCTGTCCACATCATGGGTAGCAGAAGCCAAGTGGAAAATAAGCACGGGCCTGGGGGCAAAAAGGTGGGCTAGACAGTGCTTCCAGTGTAACGCTGATGTATAAATTAAAATGAAAAACATATAAATACATAAGGTCTCCATTACACAAGGCACGCTTACATGATACCTTAGAAGCCATTCCAAGGGTGTCAGTGGGTCTGTTGTCCATGTATTGTGCTATCTGGGGGGAGGAGGGAGGCAGAGTGTGGTCTGTGTCCCTCAGTAAAAAGTTGGTTTATTTTTAGAGGAGAGAGTTGCTGGATCAGACCGGGTCTTCAGGGTTCGGAAATCTTAATAGTAGCTGGAAATTCACTTGAAAGGTAGTGAAAATGGCCACAGGATCTATTTTGTAATTTTTGTATTTTCTTATCTGAGTTGAGAAAGTTTCCTTCTCAACAGGCAATAATTTCCTCCCTGCTATAAAGCAAGGAGCTGCCTGTTGCTGGCTTTCAGGAGCAGGTAGCTAAGTGAGCCAGTGCTGGTGGTTAAGCAGAGAGTGTTACGAGAAGTTTGGTAGGTGCTATGAATGTGAAAACCTCCACATGGGGGGAGAAGAATACCTAGAAATAGAAAGTCTTGCAGCTATGTGATAAAGAACCTGCACAGGAGAAGTGTGTGGACATGTGGGTGGGACATCACCTCTTCAATTTATAGCACTCTGTTTTATTTACATCTTTGCAATGTCCCCATGGGATGGTAGGGGCAGGCAGGGTGATCTAAGAGACTGTTATCTCCTCCTCTTCTTCTTCCCCTTCATCGTCCTCTTCCTCAGAGTCTGAGAAGTCTGAAGGTTTGCTGGGGCTGCTAGAATGGGACGGAGAAGGAGACATCTGGGAGTCCAGTCTGTCCCTCAAGTGTAAATGCTCTGGGGACTGGTGGTAGGTTAAGGGATGCCGGGGGCTGGGTGGGCACGCAGGGGGAACTTCCTCCTCCTCCTCCTCTGCTGAACACTTCTTGCCTACGTCACTGAGGTCTGGGTGAGGGTTGAACTTGGTGGGTAGGGTCTGCTCTCTGCAGCCACCAGAAGAGAGGAGCTCTCGTTCTTTGGAGTTTCTCCACTTCATCCTCCTGTTCTGGAACCAGATCTTCACCTGGGGGGGCAAAGCAACACAGAAGTGAAATGGTTCAGTAAAATGGGGACCGGGAAAGGCCTTTCGGTTGCACCCTTGAAATGGGCTCATGCCCATACTGAAGCTAACGGGAACCACACAACCTGGCCTTTGGGGACCCTAGAAGAGGGGCCAGGGACAATAAGGCTGTGGTTTCTCCTGTCCTACTCGCCCAGCTGGGAATCGTGTGGCTCCCTTGGCTCTATTGATGCTCACAGCCCTGCAGCTCCCTCTGGTCCCCTTTTCCTCCCCGGTCTTTGAGCTGCTCCTGAGCTGGGGGACGTGGCTCCCCGCACCCCCTCTGCTCTCCCCACCTGGTGCCCCCCTCACCTGTGAGTCCTTGAGGCCCAGCTTGGCTGCCAACTTCTTCCTGTCAGGTTTGCTGATGTACTTCTGCTTCTGGAACATCTTCTCCAGTGCCTTGCGCTGCACGTCGGAGAAGACGGCGCGGCGCAGCATGCCACGACGGGGCTTGCCAACGGCGGCCAGCGGCCAGGAGAAGGTGCCAGGGATGGGGGCCACAGCGGAGGCGGCCGCCCACAGAGCTGAGCAGAGAGGGACCGGCCCCCACTACCCCCTCCCCGCCCTTTGGGTGGGCACCCATCGACCTGGGGATGTGCAAAGGAGCTTTAGGCTTAACCAAGCACCCCCCCTTTCAGGCAGTGATCGCTGGGATTAGATCTATCAACTCAAACGTGTAAAATGGATCAATAGTGGTCGGTTTTGTTGGGAGATTCAAAGGTCTCCGGCCTGAAAAGGCAAAGCGAGGCGTACCGGCTAAGACAGAGGTATAAGAAAAAAGCTTTCCCTCCCGCTCAGATGCATTTGATTTTTTTTTCAGATGCTTTTATGGTTTCAGACGCTTTATTATGCTCGAGATGAAAATGAGGACTTTTCTGATTCTGAACAAAACCGCTCCTCTTTAGATGCAGTTTTGATCAATCAGTATTCATCTTTTTATATTAATCTCTCTCCCCCCCCCACCCCCCCAATGTGGGACTATACCACCAGAAA